CCGCCCCCCCCCTGCGGCATCGCCCCCCCCCCCCAGCCGCGCCGGGGCGCGGCCCCGCTCCCCGTGGCCCCGCCGCAGCTCATGCGGGAAACAAGGGCTCCCCCTCCCCCTTCTTTTATTTATTTATTTCTGTTTTCTTCCCTTTTTTTTTCCTTCTTTTTTTCTTCCCTTTAATTTCTTCTCTCTCCCTCCTCCTCCTCCCTTCTCTCTTATGCTAATGGCGGGAGGGGGGAGAAGCGCCGCCCCGGCCCCCGCCTCGCACATGGGCCGCCCGGGGGCGAGGCCGCCGCCGCCGCCTGGCAACGGCCGCGTCGCCGGGGGGGGGGCTGCGGGGGGCAAAGCCTGAGGTAACGGCCGCCCTCCCGCCCGTCTGGGGCCGCGGGTCCCGCCGGTTCTTGCCCCGGCGCAAAACCCGCCTGCGGCGTAGCGGCCGCTTTCCCGTCCCCTCGGCGAGCGCGTTGTCCCGGGCAGGGCTGAGCCGCGGGGCGGCCCGACAGAGGGGCTGGGCGTGGGGGGCGGCCCCGCGGAGGCCGTGGGCGGGCGGGGGAGGAGGGAAATACAGATGCTTTTAATCTTACTCATTTTAAACAAACCACCTCGCTGGGAGGGGCGAGGAATTGCGGAGCAGCGCTACCTCCCTTTTTCCGAAGCCTGCCTCACGGAGGCGGGGAGCCAGGCGGGAGGTGAGGGGATGGGCGTCTCCGCGGGCCGGGCAGAGCCCTGCGGCCAGCAGCCCTTTGTGGGAGACGCCGCTCTCCGGCTCCAGGCGGCGGATCTTGAGCCCCGAGAGGGAGCGTGAACGAGTGAGGTGTACGGACGGCAGCGCAGGCGGCGGGGCGGGCCGCCTGCCGCTGTAGGTGTGGCAGTCCTGGGAGAAGAACGTCCACCTCCCGTCCTGCGTGTGCCTCCTGGGTGGCCGCAGCCAGCCCTAGCTGTCACCGGGGGCCTGTCGAAGGGGAGCACCCCTTAGCGTTGGGGTACTCCGGACTCCCAAAACCGCTGCAGTGGAGGGCGTGCCGCGCCCCCCCCGAACAATTGCTGGTGCTGCCGGAGTGCCAAAACCCTCCTTGCGAGGTCTGATCCAGGAGCTGACCCGGCATGACTAATGTGTTGCGTGCGGATTGCGATCGTGCCTTGGCTCCGCTTCTGCTTAGTTCAAAATACAAGAGCTAACTTGAGGCCGTTAAAACAGTGCGAATGAACAAGCCAAAGTGCCTTATAATCATGATGGTGCATTCTTATCTTCATTGCTATTGTCATGTTGGTACGTTGTAGATGTTTTAAAGATGCAGGATTTCGATAATAATTTGATGTCATGGTTATGAGTGGGCATGACACTCGGGACTCAGTCAGAAAAAGGAACAATAATAAAAAAAGGCCTGTTGTTAAACCTGAATTTAATTTTGTTGGGGGGGGGAGGGGAGAGTGTCACAATGCATTTTATTTGCATATGTGACAGGACTTCACGGTTAGTTGTGCTGTTGGCTTTACAAAAGACTACTTTTTTTCTGTTCTTCTGGCAGCTTTCTGTGTAGCAATACGCCAAGGAGATTTTTTTTATTTCCACCATTTGGAGGACAGATGATGACGAAAGCTTGCAGCAGACTTAAGAGGAGGGATCCTGTGTGATGGGTGAACAGAATTTTTTCTAGGCAGGTTCTTTGGAGCTCTGGAAGGTTTGAGTGGAACAGGATCAACCAAATCTTGCTGTTGCTTTGAAAAGTAGGGATAAAAGTGGGATTTCTAGAGCTGATTTGTTTTTCTACTCTGACCCCTGGAGGGTAAGGCAAAGAGCACAGTAATTCCTGAAATATTTCTTCTTTGTTAGAGTAGAGGAGACCTAACTGTGTGAGAATTGGGTAGTGTAGCTGAGAAGTGGTGTCAAAGAGTTATTTTAATTTATCAGTGATGATTAATTCAGAGCTCTGAAGTAAGGACTGGTGTCTCTGGGAGGCCTGGTTTCCAAAGACAAGGCATTGTAACACACAGTGCTCATCTAATGATGGGTTGGAATATTAGAGGTTATGTCTTAAGTACTTGAAACTACTAGATGAGAACAAATTGTTTTGATAAAAGCATTGTCTAGTTATGTCATGAATACTTTGGGTCCTCTCAGATGCAGGAGAACTTTGTTGTGAGCATGTTAAGTATCCATTTAAACATCAAGTATTTTTTTTAGTTTCGCATCTAGCAGTTGGTGTTAAAACTATCGCATTCAAAATATTTAACTTAGGTTCAAATTAGTTCACTTTCAGTCTTGCTGTGAAATGGGCAAAATCAATTTGATGCCTGCAGCTTGTGGCAGGGTTACTTATGGCATGGATAGCCACGTGTCTGGGATGGTTCCCTCTTTTCTGGAGAGTTAGTTTCATTTACTTTCAGCTCTGTTGTATGAGTTTAATGTATAACTGAAGAATTGAAGTTCACAATCTAGAAATTTTGAAAATATTCTGTTCTCATATTTAAAACCTAAGGCTTTGATTTAGTGAAGATTTGAGGTAAATAACTTTGAAATTCTATTTCCAAGAGAAGGAGAAAGTAGCATTGCCTGTAGCAAGTATGGAAAGAATAGTAAGGATTCTTTTATCTGCAACAATAGGCCATGGTGCTGCTTTTTGTCAGTATAACAACAGAGAAAATGTATGGACTACTTGATGGCCCATTAAAATGTATTATTTATGTATCTGGAGGTGTTTTAGGAAGTAAATCTTTGTAATGACTATTAGTTACATACTTAGGAGTATTCAGTATCATCGTTATAAGAGACTGTGACATAATTACATGTAATGCAAGTCACTGGCTGTGTATGAGCAGCCTGCCTTCTTAAGAGCTAACATAAATATTTGCTGCAGAAGAAGACAAGCAGGAGGACTGCAGTAGAACTTACATTCTCCTGGACACTTTCTTTTTTTGCTACTCCCTGTACTCCCTGTTATGCGGGTAGCAAAACCTACAATTCTTCTTGAGAGATTACTGCTTAAATCTTCTGATTACCTAAATTTACATACAGCGCAAAGAAGAATTTGAGGTGGTTGTACATGGTAAAAGTAATGCACTTTTTTGTTTGTTTGTTTGCTAGCTGTCCAAAGTAAGATTAACCAGTAGACTATGATGAGAAGATATTGCTTTTCATCTTTAAAGCCCTAGATCCTAGCAGCACTAGATCCTGCTTTTGAAGGGAGGTCATGTATCGCTTTCCTGGAAGAGACTATTGTGTTTTGAAGTTAAACTGCACTTACAAGAAACCTGTATACTAAATCCACCAGACCGGCCACAGACCAGCATCCAAAGTAAATAAAGATGTCTCCTTGTGTGTCAGTTGCCTGCAACTTGGCCACGATTCAGTTCATATGCAAATGCTGTGAAGGGCCAGCTTAATTAATTAGTCTTGGTTTTCCATTTAGTTTTATAGGACTTGGTTTTAATTCATCAATGTTGAGGAGAGGTTTCATGAACAGTTTGCTTATGTGCCAGACAGTGTCAAGCAGAGGTCAGCAGGGATGCCCCAAGCTGTACCAGGAGCACACAAACTGTTCTGCGTTGGAGTTCACCCTCACCAAGCTGACCTCGGCTGCAGTAGGCAGTGATTAAATGGAGTGATCTATACCTGCTTCGGCTCACTCTATAGAGCGTACCTTTTATCCTGCAGTGGGTATATGCAGACCCTCTAATTCGCATTGTATACAAATTCTAAAGCAGCAGATAAAATCCTCAGATTTTTTTCTGTGTTGCCGAGTTTTCTGGTGTGCTGCTATGTATGCATAGGCTCGTACAGAGGAGTTGTGTGGATTTTAAGGACAGAATGCAGCATGACTTGGGAAAAAATATAGCTGTCCTTGAATACTGCCACTGGTGACTTTCATTTGCACCCTTCATTTATTAAAATATGTTCCCACTGATCTTCAGTGTTTCTTTGAGGTGCAAGACCCTTTGTCTTCCCAAATGTAGTCAGTAAAACTGTAAGGGAGGTGGTCATAACCTAGGTATGTCAAAGGTAGAATGTGATTATTTTTTTTTCTATTACACAGTTTCCATTATAGTGACATATTAGGAGGAGAGTAACCAGCAATTTGACTGGTATAGTAAAGCTACTGTCTTCATTTTCATATTACGTGTTCCCATCTAGGTGACTTCAACAAGGGATGGGGTTTTTTATTTGGTTTTATTTATTGTCATGTGCATGTACAATGTCTAGCACAGTGAGGCCTGCTTCTGTAATTCAGCTGGTCTAAGAGTTTCTAAAAACCAAACAGCTATTTCTTCTGTTAACCAGAAGTATGTGCAAGGATAGTTCTGCCAAGTTTGATAGTATATTTGCTTCGTGTGTATCCTTTGACTTGCTTTCCAGGATAAAACCACATAGCTTCCACCTACCATATAATGATGTAGCCCTCAGGGAAGTTTTGGATTGCATTGGGAGTTT